AAACTCTACATGAAGACTCAATATGCCCAAATGTGAACACTGGTGGAGTTTGGGGAAAACAGAATCTTGACATTTGGGAGTTATTTGTTCATTCATTCAGTCGTCTCCGACTCTTCGTGACCTCATGGACCAGCCCACGCCAGAGCTCCCTGTCGGCCGTCACCACCCCCAGCTCCTTCAAGGTCAGTCCAGTCACTTCAAGGATGCCATCCATCCATCTTGACCTTGGTCGGCCCCTCTTCCTTTTGCCTTCCACTTTCCCCAGCATAATTGTCTTCTCTAGGCTTTGCTGTCTCCTCATGATGTGGCCAAAGTACTTCAACTTTGTCTCTAGTATCCTTCCCTCCAATGAGCAGTCGGCTTTATTTCCTGGAGGATGGACTGGTTGGATCTTCTCGCAGTCCAAGGCACTCTCAGAACTTTCCTCCAACACCACAGTTCAAAAGCATCGATCTTCCTTCGCTCAGCCTTCCCTAAGGTCCAGCTCTCACATCCGTAGGTTACTACAGGGAATACCATGGCTTTGACTAGGCGGATCTTTGTTGCCAGTCTGATGTCTCTACTCTTTACTATTTTATCGAGACTGGACATTGCTCTCCTCTCAAGAAGTAAGCGTCTTCTGATTTCCTGGCCACAGTCTGCATCTGCAGTAATCTTTGCGCCTAGAAATACAAAGTCTGTCACGGCCTCCACATTTTCTCCCTCTATTTTCCAGTTGTCAATCATTCTTGTTGCCATAATCTTGGTTTTTTTTTTATGTTTAGCTGCAACCCAGCTTTTGCGCTTTCTTCTTTCACCTTGATTAGAATCCTTCTTTTTTTTTTTTTTTTTTTTTTGCGCTTTCTTCTTTCACCTTGATTAGAAGGCTCCTCAGCTCCTCCTCGCTTTCGGCCATCAGAGTGGTGTCATCTGCATATCTGAGGTTGTTAATGTTTCTTCCAGCAATTTTCACCCAGCTTTGCATTCATCCAGCCCCGCACATCGCATGATGTGTTCTGCATACAAGTTAAAAAGGTTGAGTGAGAGTATGCAGCCTTGCCGTACGCCTTTCCCAATCTTGAACCAGTCTGTTGTTCCGTGGTCAGTTCTGACTGTTGCTACTTGGTCCTTGTACAGATTCCTCAGGAGAGAGACAAGGTGGCTTGGTATGCCCATCCCACCAAGAACTTGCCACAATTTATTATGATCCACACAATCAAAGGCTTTAGAATAGTCAATGAAGCAGAAGTAGATGTTTTTCTGAAACTCCCTGCCTTTCTCCATTATCCAGCGGATATTGGCAATCTGGTCTCTCGTTCCTCTGCCTTTTCTAAACCCAGCTTGAACATCTGGCAACTCTCGCTCCATGTATTGCTGGAGTCTTCCTTGCAGGCTCTTGAGCATTACCTTACTGGCATGAGAAATAAGGGCCACTGTACGGAAGTTGGAGCAGTCTTTCGCATTTCCCTTTTTTGGTATGGGGATATAAGTTGATTTTTTCCAGTCTGATGGCCATTCTTGTGTTTTCCATATTTGCTGGCATATGGCATATGGCATATGGCATAGAGGGAGAAAATGTGGAGGCCGTGACAGACTTTGTATTTCTAGGTGCAAAGATTACTGCAGATGCAGACTGTGGCCAGGAAATCAGAAGACACTTCTTGGGAGGAGAGCAATGTCCAGTCTCGATAAAATAGTAAAGAGTAGAGACATCAGACTGGCAACAAAGATCCGCCTAGTCAAAGCCATGGTATTCCCTGTAGTCACCTACGGATGTGAGAGCTGGACCTTCGGGAAGGCTGAGCGAAGGAAGATCGATGCTTTTGAGCTGTGGTGTTGGAGGAAAGTTCTGAGAGTGCCTTGGACTGCGAGAAGATCCAACCAGTCTATCCTCCAGGAAATAAAGCCGGGCTGCTCACTGGAGGGAAGGATACTAGAGACAAAGTTGAAGTACTTTGGCCACATCATGAGGAGACAGGAAAGCCTGGAGAAGACAGTTATGCTGGAGGAAGTGGAAGGAAAAGGGAAGAGGGGCTGACCAAGGGCAAGATAGATGGATGGGATCCTTGAAGTGACTGGTTTGACCTTGAATGAGCTGGGGGTGGTGACGGCCGACAGGGAGCTCTGGCGTGGGCTGGTCCATGAGGTCACGAAGAGTCGGAGATGACTGAACGAATGAACAACAACTATTATTATTATTATTATTATTTATGTGGGGCCCCTTCCACAGGGCTGAATAAAAAACCCCATTTTCCACTTTGAACTGGAATATATGGCAGTGTGATAACCCAGTTCAAAACAGATCTTATGGGATTTTCTACCCTGATATTCTGGGTTACATGGGGGCCCTTCCATGGAGATTAGGACAAGGAACAATGGCTTCAAACTACAAGAAAGGAGGTTCCACCTGAACATGAGGAAGAACTTCCTGACTGTGAGAGCCGTTCAGCAGTGGAACTCTCTGCCCCGGAGTGTGGCGGAGGCTCCTTCTTTGGAAGCCTTTAAACAGAGGCTGGATGGCCATCTGTCAGGGGTGATTTGAATGCAATATTCCTGCTTCTTGGCAGAATGGGGTTGGACTGGATGGTCTATGAGGTCTCTTCCAACTCTATGATTCTGATTCATCACCATCATTACAGCTTAAACAACAAGAGCAAGTTAAGTATAGATTTTTTTGGTATTTGAAAATGTAAAAAAGTATTCCAGCATTGCAATATGCAAAACCCACTGGGGGCCCTTCCACATTGCTATATAACCCAGAATATCAAGACAGGAAATCCCACAAGATCTGCTTTGAACTGGGTTCTTCTTCTTCTTAGGCGATTCCTTGTTGGACGAGTAAGATGGTCTTCCTTGACTATTTTTGTGGGTTTGTAGGTGGCTGTGGAGCCCTATTCTTGACCCGCATTTTCTCCCACAGTGAAGGCATTGGTTTCCAGGTGGAAGGCAGTCCCGGTCGGCCTTACTCCTGGCACGTTTCTCTCTTTCACCCTCCACTGGTGCCTCCTCGAATTCTGCAGCACTGCTGGTCACAGCTGACTTCCAGCTGGAGCGGTCAAGGGCCAGGGCTCCCTAGTTCTCAGTGTCTATGCCTTTGAGAAATGGCTTTGAGGCCATTTGAACTGGGTTATCTGAGTCCACACTGCCATATATTCGAGTTCAAAGCAGAACGTGTGGGATTTCCTGCCTTGATATTCTGGGATGTGTGGGAGGGCTCTGGGTGACCTTGGGCGAGTCACACATTCAGCTCCCAGTGTGAAGGTGGGAGGAAGGAGCAGGAAGAGCCTCGCCCCCTCTTGGAGGCGTTCGGCTATTGGCGCGTTCGGGCGGCCCTTTTTGCCCCGCCGAGGCCGCCGTAGCGGCTGGTTCCCTTGGCGACGGGCTCCGCGCGGGCACTCTCCCATTCTCTGTCTCTCTGTCTCTCTCTCTGCGGAGGCGAAGGCGGGCTCCGACTCCCTCTCCCGGCCTCTTCGGGGCCCTTGAGTCGCAGGGGGTGTCAGGGAAGGAGGGAGGCGGGGAAGGAGGGGGTGGCCCGGCTGAGGCGCCGGCGGGAGCTTGGCTCGTTCCGTGTCCCCCGCTTTGGGCCTATGAAGCCCACTCCCTTCTGAAGCGGGGCCCCCAGGAGCCCCCGTTGCCACGGCAACCACCGCGGGGGGCCAAGATTTGACCCTCCCCCCCCCGCCCGCCTCAGAGCCGGAAGGGGATTCGCTCCAGGGGAAGGACCAAAAAAAGAGGAAAAAGCATCAGGAAAAAGAAAGAAAGAAAGAAAAACCCAACCACGACACTATACAGCAATCTAATTGAAAATCTTCCCGGACTGGATCCAACCTCAGCTCTGCCCTTTCTGCTCCTTTACCTCTGCCTTAAGATTCCTCTGGTCTCTGTTGAATCGCACTCCTGGCCCCAAGCAAAAACATAGCTTAGACCTCCTTCCTTCCTCCCCATTCAGCTGCTCTCCTTCCTGCTTTTCACTTTCTGCTCTTCCCTTCTCTTCCTTCTTTGACCTGCTTGGGCCAAAAGGAAAGAAGGGACTCCTAAGGGCCCCTAAAACACAACTCAAGGAATCCCCCAATCTGGGTGGAAAGAAAAAAAAGGGAGAATAGGTTGAGTTTAAAAGCGCCAAATACCCAAGTTTAAGAGTCTCTCTCCCATCCATTTCTCAAAGGAGAGAATAGGTCGTCTTGAGGAGCCCTAAAACCCAAGTTAAAGAGTATCTCCTCCACCCATCTCAAAGGAGAGAATAGGTTGCCTTTAGTAAAGAGTGTCACCGCCATCCATCTCTCAAAAGGTTGCCTTTAAGTGCCATAAAACCCAATTAAAGAGTCTCTCCCCCATCCATTTCTCAAAGGAGAGGATAGGTGGTCTTTAGGAGCCCTAAAACCCAAGTTAAAGAGTGTCACCTCCATCTATCTCTCAAAAGGTTGCCTTTAACTGTCCTAAACCCCAATTAAAGAATCTCTCACCCATCCATTCTCAAAGGAGAGGATAGGCGGTCTTTAGGAGCCCTAAAACCCAAGTTAAAAGGGCTTCTCCATCCATCTCACAAAGGAGGGCATAGGTTGTCTTTTGGGGCGCCAAAACCCAAGTTAGAGTCTCTTCCCCAATCCATCTCACAAAGGAGGGCATAGGTTGTCTTTTGGGGCCCCAAAACCCAAGTTAAAGAGTCTCTTCCCCCATCCATCTCTCAAAGGAGGGACCAGGTTGTCCTTAGGAGCCCTAAAACCCAAGTTAAAGTGTCTCTCTCCCATCCATTTCTCAAAGGAGAGAATAGGTTATATTTAGGGGAGAGATTCTTTAACCTAAGAGTCTCTCCCCTATCCATCTCTCAAAGGAAGGCATAGATTGTCTTTAGGTGTCCTAAAACTCAAGTTAAAGAGTCTCTCCCCCCCCCCCCGCCTCCCATCCACTTCTCAAAGGAGAGAATAGGTTGTCTTTAGGAGCCCCAAGAGTCTCCCCTATCCACTTCTCAAAGGAGGAAATAGGTTGTCTTTAGGAGCCCTAAAACCCAAGTTAAACTCTCCCCCATCCAATTCTCAAAGGAGGGAATAGGTTGTCTTTGGGAGCCCTAAAACCCAAGTTAAAGAGTCTCTCCCCCATCCAATTCTCAAAGGAGAGACTAGGTTGTCTTTAGGAAGTCCAAAACCCAAGTTAAAGAGCCTCCCTTCTCCCCTCCCCCATCATTTCTCAAAGGGGGAAGCAGGTTGTGTTTGTAACCCCAAAACACAAGTTCAAAGAGTTCTTTCTTCCTCTCTGAATCTCTCCCCCTCCCTTCCCCACCCCCCTCCCGCGCCCAACCCGCTTCAAAAGAGGCAGGGAAGGAAGGGCGTGTGGATGGAAGAGAAGGAGGAGGGGGAAATGTTGGTGTCTGCTTCTCCCTGGAAACGCTGGAGGGACTGAGGCGAAAGTGAAGCAGCGGGGGAGAAACTTTCCTGGCCAGAGCCTGGGCTTGAGAGGCGAGGGATGCTCCTGAGCCACCCCCAGCAGCATCAGCATCATCAGCAGCAGCAGCGGAGGGCTTTGCTGGTGCCGCATTGTGTTTGCTGAGGCTCCTCCCGGGTGGTGGGGGCATTGGAAGCGTCCTACGAGGAGGAGGAGGAGGAGGAGGGAGGGAGGAGGAGGAGGAAGGCGTCAAGAGCAGCAGCAGCAGCAGTCTCTCTCTTCCTCGCCCACCTCTTTCTTGCCCGGCGCAGCTAGAGGGTGTTGCGTCCTCTCCGATTCTTCCTCTCCGGCCTGAGTGCGATGTGAAAGCTCTTGCCCACATAACCCTGCTTTGCCAAGGATTGGGAGCTTCAGCCTAGTACATGCATCCGATAATCATCTTCTCCTACAAAATGGATTTTAGCCAGAACAACCTCTTTGGGTATATAGAAGACCTACAAGAACTTACTATAATCGAAAGGCCGGTCCGCAGGAGCTTAAAGGTATCTTTTGTTTATTTCATTCCCCCCCCCCCCCCCCCCCCCCCCAGCCATCCCAGGGCTTTCCCATCCTGACTGCAGCTATTTCTGTATAGGAAACTGTTAAGCAAAGGATCTGTTCTGCAGGCTTTCTTTAAATTGAAAAGATGATGTGCACCGATAAGGTGTTGAATTCCTTTGGGCCATGTAGCATAATGGTTTCAGAAATTGAAATATCAATTGGGAGGAGAGGAGAGAAGAATCCTAGATATCAATTCTGTGACTTTAGCAGGGTTTAATGGTTATATAATTTGGGATTTTTCTCTTTGGTTGTAAAACTATAAAGTATATTTTTTTGTGGGGTAAGAAAGATGTTGCAGATTGAAAGGAGTGCGGATTAAAATAGTTTCAAATACAAATGTTGTGAGAGATTGTGAGGATAAAAGCCAAAGGCCCTGAGTCAAAACCATCAACCCTGGAGGAGCTCATGGACCTCCAGGAGACTGTTCCAGAGAAAGTGACTTCAAAATTACAGCCTGTCATTCTGATTCAGAAAAGGAGGAAGGGGGCAGTGGAAAAGGATTTGCGTTGCATGCACAAAATCCCAGCTTCAGTCCTTGCCATCCCCTTGAGCTAAGTCAGGAAGAAGCCTTCTATTAGACTTTAGAGAGCTGCTGCCAGTTGGTATAGAAACAGAGAATTCTGGGCTAAATGGATCAATGGTCTGACTCATACAAAGCAGCTTCCTAGCCAATTAAGCAGGAACACTTCAATTCATTTCCCAGCTTTAATTTTACATACTCTGGTTTAACTTAAAAGTCTTATGAGCTGCAATACATCAGTATCTCAGTTCCAAGTGCATGTACTCTGGAGCAAATTGCACTAATTCTGATGCCTAACAGTGTTATCTTAACTCACTCGTTTGATCTAGGTGAATCACCCTTAGAATAAACCTATTGACAATAGTATGAACAATTAGTTAGAAATAACTTCATATTTTTTTTGTTTAATTGGACTAATTTAAGCATAGTTATGGCCCCCTGGTGGCACAGCGGGTTAAACCTCTTGAGCTGCTGCACTTGCTGACCGAAAGTTTGGTGGTTCGAATCCGGAGAGCAGGATGATCTCCTGCTGTTAGGCCCAGCTTTTGCCAGCCTAGCAGTTTGAAAACATGTAAATATGAGTAGATCAATAGGTACTGCTTCTGTGGGAAGGTAACGGTGCTCCATGCAGTCATATCGGCCACATGATCTAGGAGGTGTCTATGAACAATGCCGGTTCTTCAGCTTAGAAATGGAGATGAGCACCACCCCCCAGATCGGACATGACTAGACCTGATGTCAAGGGGAAACCTTTACCTTTTAGGACCTCCTGGTAGTACAGTGAGTTAAACTGCTGAGCTGCTGAACTGGCTGACCAAAAGATTGGTGGTTCAAATACAGGGAGCAGAGTGAGCTCCTGCTGTTAGGCCCAGCTTCTGCCAACCTAGCAGTTTGAAAACATGCACATGTGAGTAGATCAATAGGTACCACCTTGGTGGGAAAGTAATGTCGCTCCATGAAGTCATGCTGGCCACATGACCTTGGAGGTGTCTACAGACAATGCTGGCTCTTCGGCTTAGAAATGGAGATGAGCACCACCACTCTAGAGTTGGATGCGACTAGACTTAATGTCAGGGAAAACCTTTACCTTTAAGCATGGCTAAATCTAATTTAAGCAGGCATACAGCATAATAATCTTGTGCCACACACACATACATCCTCTTGAGTTCAGTGTGCAAAGGGATCTTTCAAGTACTCATTCTGCCAATGACCTCAGTAAGGCTTACTCCTGCATAATTGTTTGAGGGAATGCACCCTAAATACCTTGATGGTTTGGGCTTTTGAACTGCAGGGTATAGACCAGTGGTTCTCAACCTGGGGTCCCCAGATGTTTTTGGCCTACAACTCCCAGAAATCCCAGCCAGTTTACCAGCTGTTAGGATTTCTGGGAGTCGAAGGCCAAAAACATCTGGGGACCCCAGGTTGAGAACCACTGGTATAGGCAATGCTCAAAACCCCAAGCTTTGATTTTTTAAATAATATTCATTTGTGTTTCTCACTTGACAGACACCAGAAGAAATAGAAAGACTGACAGTTGATGAAGAACTCAATGATATTGAAAGGGCCGTTTATCTGCTCAGGTATTTCTTTAGAAACTGTTGTAGAGTTGTTGTTTTTGGGAGGGTGGTGGTGGTGGTAGTACACTTTAGCATTTAAATGTTTCCATTCCCACACTCCCATGGATTTTCATTTTTGTGTTGGAATACCAACACAGAAGGAAGACTGGAATAGTATGTGGTCGTAACAGTTCTTCAAACTTTCACGTAGAGCATAAAAATGTACTCTTGTACAAGAACATCTGCTTGACTACATTGGCTGCTACAGTGCAAATGAATGGTGGTATCAAAGTAACTAATAATTAAAGTGATTTCATATTTATAATAGAATTTGCACTGTGATCATTCTGTATTTGAGTTAACCATCTTCCTTAGAAAATATGAAGTGATGAACTGTTAAGAAGATTTGTTTATTAAGGTCCAAGAGATTCAAAGCTGCAGATAACATTGACACTCAATAATGCCCAGCCTTTTAAAACCCCAGACCCTTCTTCTCATTTGTTTTTACTGCAAAGTGAAATGCTTTTTACTTAGCAGATGTTTAACTGTATAGAACATTAATTATCCAAATCACAGAATTTTTTATTTTCATGTAGCTGTTGTCTTTGAAAGAGTTACACTGCTGAACGATTTTGATTTAAATCTGCACTTTTATACAATGCCCATTAATTGAAGTGCCAGATGTAAGCTTTCTTTGAATAGCTTTCAGTTTGAAAGGCTGTTTATAGAATATTCAAGATCTACATTTATCTTTTTCTTTAAAAATGTAGTTTGTACTACATTTGCACTACATTTGGGTTGGCTCTGTTAGCAGATAGTTATTTTTTGATATGCTATTGAACTTGCTGTACATAAAATACCAAGCATTTAGTCAAAGCAATATACTGCCCACCCTCTATTTGCAGGGTAGGAGCCATACTCCGTGTGTACATTTCTTGTGGTTTGATAGGGGTGTATATCTTCATTGGGGAGGTGCTTGCTGAATATTTGTAGTTACTTTAACATCCCAGGTATCCCATTATCTATGGGATGTTTTGACTGTGTGTGTACTGGGAAAGGGGTTAGTTCAGACCCAAATCCAATTGTTCTTGATTTGTTGAGAATGCACATCAACCATGTTAACAACAGACTAATTCCTGAGCAATTGATATTCAGCAAAATGATTTCATGTCATGTCTATAATGAGCATGATTAGAGCCTGATTTCTTATTCCTGTGCTAAGACTGGAGCACATGGGCCAGGCCTATATAAGGTCTGCCTTAAGCCTCATGAAAGAAAGGCATCTCACTAGAGTTCTGGGCTCCTGTGAGATCTCAGATCTCATGGTAACCTGGAAACCTTGTTAGATTTGAAGTGGACTTTATATAGGTCTGCTTCCTATGACCTTGAGCTTACTGGGGGAATGGAGAGGGTTAATAAAACATTAACGTTAGCTATTACAAAAATAATGTGTAAAAATCAATTCTCACTTTCTTATTGAGTTGTTGGCAGTAAGTATTATGCCCTAAATCCCAGAGTGGAGATTACAGCCTTGATGAATTGCAGCTTCCCTAAGTTGGATGGGTTGGTTAGGGCTGTTGAGAGTGACATTCATAGCAACTGGAAGGTCACATTACACTAATCCAGTGGTTCTCAACCTGTGGGTCCCCAGATGTTTTGACCATCAACTCCCAGAAATCCTAACAACTGGTAAACTGGCTGTGATTTCTGGGAGTTGTAGGCCAAAACATAGGTTGAGAACCACTGCTCTAATCCCTTATCTATCCCACTGTTAATCCCAGCTAGAGTAGATACAGTAAATCAATAGGAACCTGACACATTAACATTTTTAAAACTGTTGATTCAGTTGGTCTAATCTAGTTACCAATTGGATTTAGGTCCTATGTAAATGAAGGGATAGGTGTCACATCCTTGAAGACCTTGTGGTTGTTATCATCATCCCACATTTACCTTGGTTTGGGACTCAAAGTGCCTTGATCATATAAAACAAACATAGTCACCAATTGATATATTAGTATTGTTCAGATCTAAATATTAATTTTATGTGTGCTACCAGTCCTTATCCTGTCATTAATTAATCTGTGTGTTTCAATAGACTGATTTCGTTCGTTTTTTGTTGAAACTTATGTTTTCTATTACTTTGCCAATACCCAGTGGAACATCTGTTATCACATATCCGGTTGAATATCACCAACATACTGTTGGCTTGGTTGACCCTTTTGCTTTAGGACTCTGTACATGTTGCACCTGGATCCTCTATTATTTTTGCATTCTTTTTGTTTTGTAGTTTGGAACTGTGTCACACTGTGGCCCCAAACACAAGTTCTACTTGCGGTATATTTCAAGCAGACTCAGGGGTGACATGATAGCATTCTTTAAATATCTCAAAGGCAGTCACAGAGAAAAGAGGGCAGGCCTGTACTTTGCTGCCCCAAAGCGTAGACCCAGTCTAATAGTCTCAAGTTACAGGAGAGTAGATTTCAATTGAATATTAGAAAGAACTTTTTGACAGAGAGCTGGTAAAATCCCCTTATTTTGAATGTTCTCAACAAGTGGCTGGACAGTTCCCTGCTGGGGATGCTAGATGCCACATGAGGCTCTTTGGAACTTTGATATTTCTATGAATAAAATTCTCTTTAAGGTGGCAGGCCACTGTGCATGTGGACAGTTTAGACTGAATTCAGACTTACTCATTTATCAGTGTATGGTAGGTATGGCACATAGAAACTGTTTGTTACTTTTTCTACATGCATATACATTTTTCACACCTACGATTTGCTGCCTTACTTCAAACCCATTCATGCAGAGCTTATGCTGGAATGTGCAGGGTGCCCTGGTCTAAGGTGAACAGATTGTCACTGTCCACCACTTTCAGCCTGTGATCTGATTGGACTCATCCAGTGGTAGAATGAGGAATTAAACAGTGGAATTGTACTTATTTGTCTGGCAAAACACATATGATCTGTCTCACCTAATGATCTATCTTTGATTTCAAAACTTAACATTCTTTAGCATGAAATGTCTAAGAATTAATCTTCTTTCTAAATTGCAGGGAAACATGTGAATTTCTAAATTGCAGGGAAACATATGTGAATGTATTTTTTTTTATTTGGTAGCTCCCATGGGTTGCTTGATTGAATGGTACATCTTTTGTATTCCTTCCGTTACTTGGTTAAATGTTTTATAAAGCTAGATAGGAATGTCATTAGTTTACTGAAAGATCTGTTTGCTAGTATCCCATTTTGACCAAGGCTAGATGATATCATTTTGAAAGCATTTTAATGCTGATGAGTATTGTGTAGCTTTTTGATCATTTTCATATAGTCTTTCCCAATTTTATTGCAGTTTATCTGTGGCTTATTTCCACAATAAAATGTTACATACAATAGCTTTCAATAATCTTTTATTAATGCTTAGATATCTTATAGTTAAATAACGGTAAATTAACCAGTGATTAAACTGAAACTAAGAGCCAGCACTGTAGTAGTTTGAGTGTTGGACTAGGATCCTGGAAGAGCTGCATTCAAATCTCTGCTCAGCCATGGAAACCCAGTGGATGACTTTAGGTAAACCACATCCTCTAACAGAAAGGTAGTGGCAAACATCCTCTTAATAAACCTTGCCAAGAAAAGCCTGGGATAGAGTTGTCATAAACCAGAGTTGAAGGTACACAACAACAGAGTAAAAGTAGTGTTATAACCACCTTCCACACTGCTATGTTTAATATTGTTATGTTATAAGGACCACATGTGTGACCAAAAGTGACAACTTAGCATTGCCTTTAAGGGTCTAGGTTGGCAAGGAAACTGCAAATCTTTCACCCATTAGTAGTGCATTCAAAGCTTTTTAGAGGGAAAGGGAGAGCATCTTCTTACCATATGGAAGCAGATAATAAAATGTACCGTGCACACTACTAAAGCAGTTGCAAGATGTCAATCTGAACTTTTTTCTTGAGAATTCTTATTTCAAAACTTGGCAATTTCCCCATCTGTTTCACTGTCTCTCCTCCCTGTACCTTTAAGATCATGTTCTATCTTACTGTACTGCATTGTTTTACATCCCATGTGGCAAGAAAGAGATCCAATTAAATAAATAAGTATGCTGGCCAGGAGTCAGCATAGATAATTTCCACTCCTGAAATGACTTCTAAGGGATGGGTAACAGCAATAAAGAACCACAGATGAATTCACCAGAAGAAAACTGTCCTCCTGCTCTGGATGATATAATATGGCAGAGTTTTGGAAAGGATATAACATCCCTCACCTATCGTTCTCCCCTCCCTTAAGTACTGTTAGTCAGTAGGCTACAGAAGTGCTGTCGTATACTAACTTTAGCTTGCAGTTTGCGCCTTAAGAGTAGTTGGAGCTTCAGTTTGTATTCCCCTGTGCATTCTAACCCTTAATGAAAGCTAAGATTATAAGAAGATGAACTTATAATAAAAGAATGTTCTACAAACAATTTGTTAAGACATTCTTATAGGGAAAAGTACATAGTCTATGAGATTTTCCTATTCTGTAATTTGACTTTCATATATTTCACCTTGTTATTAACAGCCTGTTCCATATGTATTTTGAAGAGCCAATTTAGCTGCTCAGACCGCCTAATTGGAATACATGCCCTAATAAAACTTTCCCTTTGGGACTTACCTGCTGATTTGGGAGAGCCTCAGTGGATTTATTTTCTTACTAAAGACAACTACCTTTTCTTCTCTTCTTTAGTCTTAAATTCAACAAAAAGGCTTTATTTTTTTAAAGATTAACATAACCTTCGTTTGGAAAGAGGCCTATTAGGATGGTTTGTCTTATTAAAGGTGGTGAACAAGAAACTGTTTACTGTTCATTTATTCTGTGAGAAGTCATTAGAAATGTCACTCAAAATAATGAAGGGGTAATCTAAAGTGGATATTTATTCATTCATTTATGACCCAGGATCATGTCATGAATATTATGCTTCAAATAATCCATGTATATAAGCAAGCATACCATATTTTCCCCTGCTTTGCTCTTGTAACAGAAATGGACAAT